ATAAGTCCTATTGGACATCCCATGCAATTATAATATTTTTTATTTAAAAAAAACATAAAATCATTATTTGAATATTCAAATCAATATAAAATCAATATCTTTATTTTTATAGATTCAAATTTGATAAATAAAATATCCAGAGATTTAGAAAAATTCAAATAACAATTATAAATATCACATATTATTAAAACAAAATTAAATACTATGATAGGAAAATGATCCATATGGTCTAGGAATAAATGTGCACTGTGGGGCACTCCACTTTCAACTATGGACTACAGACCACACAATTCATGCAGAGGATCGTTAGTGGGTCATCAAATTCTAGCCAATAGGCAAGGGGTCGCAGTCTTAATCTATGGATTTCAGGTTGCCCCTAGAGACGAAACCAAGGTCATCATGACCTGATGCAATCCATTGCTCGATGGTGCATACGGGTTATCTCTCGCACATGCACACATTCACCCTGAAAGGTGGTTCGCTTCCTCGAAGACAACTATCAATGTGCATGTTGTGTGATGGTACACGGATGAGACTTTGGCCCCATTTTTAAAGGCCTCCATCACATACAAGGGTCACACAGTCCTTCGACTCACGCTTTCAGCCATACTCCGATCTCATCAAGGGATGACCCATCTAGCTCTTTATCGATTTGTTTTTCTATGCCCAGGTAAAATCAGTTTTTCTCAACCAGACTGACCTAGCACGTTATACAGAGTCCAATATCAGCAAACATTGTTTGCTTAGTATGATGCATACAGGACCCCACTCCCACTGAATTCATGTTCCATTATATAATTCAATTACTAGCACTTATAAGGTTTTTAATAGCCACACACACCCAACATAAATTGCTCAACTGGGTGAGTCAAATAACACTAAGCAACGTATATCTCTTATCTTATATGGACCACACTTCCATTAGAGTACAAATCCACTATGATCATGAGTTTTTACATGTTCTGAAGGCCCTTGAAAAGACCAAAAACCCCAATTTGCTTGATTTGGGACTAAAGAATAAACAAATGTCTACGAACCTTTTCTCCCTCAAACTCATAAATTTGACTACAAAAGCAATGTAGATGTGTGATTTTTAATTTTTTTAAAGGAACGATCATGAAAAACGGACATCCCAGTGGTTCAAATTCAATGGTTTTTTTCAATTCATGACTGTAATGGTCAAGATTATAGACTTACAAATTGTGGATTTATCTCCAACTTGGATTTTAGAAGCCCAAACTCACAACAGCAGTGCATCCAATATAGACATGCATGTTTATAATTTTTTTTTATGCTTATCGACATGCCAAAGATGTGTTGCTCCCCTTTGATATTTAAACATGGAAAAAGTTCATATAAGGTTGCAACCTTACACATATAGAAGTGAAGTCGCATTAATTTACATTGTCTATTGTTTTGGACAGTATAATATTTGATTACACCTTAAAAGACGTGTTTATTTTTTTGTTTTGTCTTAAAAGACGTGTGAAATCTATAATATTCAATTAAAATGAATGTTGTAAAACATTATAACCTTACTTCTACATATAATGTCACCGCTTTATACAAACCGCACCCTTTAAACATTATTCTTTCTCCCTAAAGTAAACAATTTATATAAGATGTTGCAATGTTGCAATAATCTACACTGTCTATTTTATTGGGATTGTCTAGATTTGATGCTATCTTCAAAGAAGCGCCACTTTTTTATATTGTCACAGTTTCTATACTTTTTTATATTGTCACAGTTTCTACCAGTCATTTGCATAAATGAGTCCCCTCTTAAAAATCTATTTTTGATATAGATTTGGACCTAATTTTTAACGAATAAGTAATCTCTAATATGAAGAAAATGAATATATCAAAAAAATAAAATTTGTAAAAAATAATAATCGATAGTTTTATAAAGAAAATATTTAGACAATTGATTTTAACTTTTTTTTAGAGGGACCACCCATTTACATCCATCTTCGACATTGATGTTTTATGCCTTAGGGAATATAAATATAAAAGTGTGTCTCCCAACATATACAATAATTTTCTCGCTTTAAAAGATTTCAAATCTATGCCATCTACCTAAAATAGAAATAGGAGAAGGAGAACATGACAACCTTACTTCTACCTACAATTAAAGTTACGGCCTAATAAAAACCATACCCCTCTCTAGAATATTTCCAAATAAATTACCTATGCCATCTAGAAGCCAACCTCTCAGTTGTAGCATAGAGCATAAAAGGATGGAATTTCTATAAGGCGTAAGTTTTATAAAAACAAAATAAAGCCTTATCTCAAATCCTTGTTTAGAAAGCACTTTTGATAATAGAAAATCTCCATGATCGATCTAAAATCAATGATGAATCTAAAATCAATTTCCGATGCCAGCAATAAATTTTGAAACTCAAAAAATAATATCGAACTTGTGGATCCATGAACACTTATTTTTAGGGGTGAAATGGATGATCTAGATAATTTGTTATAATATAAATTATTTTTAGAGCTTAAAATATTAATTTCTTTTTTACAACTATAATGTTCAAGCTGAGATGATCCATTTAAAGATTTTCCAATGCTTGAATTATAATTTTCAATGGATTATGAGGTGAGGCTTTACTTAGTTTGATAGGGCCGAAGGCCTATCAAACCATTTTCCTTGTTAGCACGAAGTTTCTAATTGGAGATTTATTTTCAAATGTTGGGGCACCTATTTAGGAAGCAAAGTTTGAGGCCTTCTCTCCTTCTTGTTTCCTCTCTCTCCCTGTCAAACTCAGTGTGTTAATAATTCATACGAAGAAACTTCGGTTCTTGTGCTTTCAAGATGGATATTGAGATTCCATGGAATCTTACCACGAATTGGGAAGTTGCCCTAGGATCCCTTCACTCTTCACTTCGCATAGAGACAACGCCGCAAATCTCATATGAAACCTCAATTGATGAAGATCCTCTGGTTCTTGAGCCATCTCAAGAACCAGAGCCCTGTGAAGTCACGAGTAAGATGGTTTTCGACTCCCTTTCAGGTTTCATTTGATGTTTTGAAATGCGATGCTAGTTAATTTTAGGGGATGTTGCAATGAGTCTGTTTTTGTAGAGTTTGTGAAATTTGGAATTTTGTTTTGATGTATGATGATATGATCTGATTCATGATTTGGTGAATTCTGGTTCAGTTTAGGGTTTATTAGTGTGTAAATCAGTTCATAGTTCAAGACTTGCCTTTTGATTTTCAGTCTTTGATATTTTCAAAGTACGGTAACCTTTATTTTTAAAATTTCTGGCTATTTTACCATTTTCGGGGTTGCATTGGGTGCAATGGTCTGTTCTGGTTTGCTATAATCTCAAATTTCTTGATTCTAGTGCTACTTTAAAGATTTTCCTCGTAATATTAATTCCGGATAATTGTAATTAGAGTATGGGAATAATTTGATGTTCCTAAATTTCCTTTTTTGAGTTTTGAACTGGAGCTTTATGGTTTCTTTTAATGGAAAAGTAGTAAGCAAGATTAGTTTCCACTTTCATTAAGATCCCTTTAGTAATAATTTTCTCTATGGCTCTATAATCAAAGTTCTAGTAATTTATTTGCTTTCTTTATGAGGTTTAATTTGATCAACAGATTCTCTCCCTATGTTTCCATACAGTAACCCTCCAAAATCAAAACATTGTTTGCAAATATGGAAACTACGTCTTTATTGAACGTAGCTTATCTGAACTAGACATTATCTTGTTTCTGAATGATGGACAACTGAAATAGAGACTCGTATAAAAATATACATGCACCTGCTTCAGATGTTTTTTGAATAGGGAAACCAATAGTTTAGATTTTGAATAGATTGAACTCTCTATAATAGTGGAGAATGTGTTTGAAATTAATCTCAGGTTTTTGGATGATAACCGAAGTACAAACCAGTTGACTCGGTTTGGACTTTGAAATGAGGAATTCATGAGAAGGGGTTTGACATTTTTTAGTTTAAAGAAGCATTTACATGAAGGATCTTTGTTGACTTGGGTATTACTTAGGCATATTGCTTTATCAGAAACGAAGGCCACCCATGTCTGGAATTTATGAAGAATTTATTCAGCAAAATCGATGCACAGAAAATTTGGTGATCCATTGTAATTCTTTGTTCCCACCCCATATGAAATGGAAGGAGGAGGTTCCTGTTAGTAGCTTCTATTTTATTTTTCCTTTTTGGTACTTAGTCACTTAACCAATCAAGCCCAAGCCCATTTCCTTTTCACTTGCTTCTTTTATCTTTGATAAAATAGTTCTACTGATCATCTACAGCACAAAGATTCTTGGTTTTCTGCCTTTTCTGTTTTCTGTAACATGCAAAAGAAACCTGAGGCCACCTCTTTCTTTATTGCAATTTTATACAAAATATGGACAGGAAGTCTTGTTCCAATGGCAACTCCTTAACTAATCCCTGTTCAGGATGTCTTGCTCTGTTTTCAACTTCTCACGTAATCCTGTAGAAAAATATGAAGAATACAAAATGTAGCATTAGAAGAAAGATGATGGAAACTGCAGTTGGAGGATAAAACAGAGGATCTCCCTATGAGCTTAGCTGAATCAAGTTCTTGAATAACAATGAGAGGATAGAAGGGATCGTGGATAGACATTGTGGGGGAGGAAGAGAAAAAAGAAAAAAGGGGGAGGAATCAAATTCTAACAGATCGGCAGACATGGTATTATGTAAGAGAATAAGATAGCCATGCGAAGCCTTCCTTTTAGGATTGACGATTTATTAGTCATTGTGGTTTATGCTTATGTCAGCATTTCATGATAGTCTATGGAAATATTTATTATCATTGTTTGACAACAAATGACTCAATGAGTGAACTTTTGTACATCAGTAGCATTTAATCTTGCACATGCAAGTCTTCAGTCTTAAATTCTTTATGAGAACTCTTAGTTGTATAAAATTCATTGAGTAAAATTTTACACAAGCTTTGGATAAGTCTTTCGGTTTCCATTTATAACCCTCCTACCTGGTGTATGGTTCAAACAGATAAAGTAGGTGGTCCATAAAGGTGTTCTTTATGTACAATGAATTGGGCCTCAATGGAATAGCATTTAATACTAGCTATTGGCAACTATGTAGATTTTCTGCTTTCAATGATTCTGGTGTGCCGAAAAACGCTGAACACATTATGCACATCTATTTTCTGTAATTTGTGCTTTGGCTAGTTCCTGCTCTCGAACTTTTCTTAACTGGTCACTGTAACAAGAACATTGGCTTTGGTAGCTGTTGTCATTGTGAAATCTGAGCTTTCAGTGGCATCAGGAGGGGATTAGGGCATTCATGTTGCTTCATAGATCACCTTGCCTTTATCTTATTACTTTGGGAATCGCATACCATATAGCAAGGATCATGTCACCAAGTCACATGCTAATATGTACAATATTAGTGAGTAACCATAGATGCATATGCCTTTCTATATGTACCTATTTCTCTGCCCTTATTCGTTTGGTTGAATGAATTGAACTTCCATATTCAAACTAATTGACAAAATCATGGCAACTGAATCTTACATCAGCTCTACACAACCACGATGAATACCATCGTCAGCATGCTCATTATTATTGAAAGCTGAATTGCTTGTCTACTAGCCTTGCTGCCCCTTATCCTGAATATTGATCCTTAATAATTTACTAATATCTGAGGAACTTCACGATTGCTTGTTATTGCTGAATGCTGGTTATGTTCAACAGAAAAAATCTAATTTGTTTTTTTTTTCATGCATATGTACTTTAACAAACTGCAGTCAGTTTCAAGCAAAGGCATGTCATAGAACGTGTCTATGTCTGCAGTACTGCTCGGGTATATGAAATATATTATGGAACTGATCAAAACAATGTAAATGAGTATCTTTGTACTGTTCGATGTGGAGTTGTGTCTAGAGAAAAGGAATCAGTTCAACCAATCGAAGGTCGGTCATCTTCTGATTGCTCTAAATTTTCAACAGAATTTATGGAATCACCCATAGAGCCAACTAAGAATGACATCCAAAGTGCCGACGAAGATAGCTGGGTTGAAGTGAAGGTTCGTGATTCTATTGTTCTGGAAGAAGTTGCTAGTTCTGGGTCTAAGAAATCAGGTGAGAAAGGGTGCAAAAGTGAGCTCATCTTCTATGAGGCAGCAGCAGAGATTTCAGATGCAGAGCCATGCATGTGTCTCAAACTTCGATTGCTCTCACTTCAGGATAAGGCATCTGTTTGTATAGAAGATATATCTGTTACTGCAGAGCCTGTCCAAACGATAGAGGCAGAAAGTCCTCCGCGACAAATGGAAAGCTCAGCAGGGTCACTATTGGCAATGCTTGTTCCAAGCCTTCTGCAACTAAGGGGAACTGGATTCACTCGAATGCAAAGTAAACCATTTTCTGATGTCAGAGGAAGGCAGGAATTCCCAGAAAGTCCATCAAGAGCAACAGAGTCCATTGCTCCTTTAAGGAAAATGGCAAATGGGACATCTTCAACACAACCAGAAGCTCAAGAGGAGAGACATAAGGAACAAGCAGGAAATCAACATGGCAGGATAGGGCCAGAACTTGGTGAGCAAATAACATTAATTTATGATACAATCACACATAAGGAGCAAGCAGATGATGAAAACGTACACAGGGGATCAGAAGCTGGTCGACAAGTACCACTTAAAGAGATATCAGAGACACCAAATGCAAGAGAGATCAATGCTGATGGAACTGTACAATGTGAAAGATTATCTGATCGCTCATATTTTGAGCATGCATTGGAGCAGCTGTCTCAACGAGTGGACAAGATCGAGGCTTTCTGTTCAAGGGTCGAGGAAAGCATGTGGAAGCCACTTGGCATCATGGAAACAAGGCTTCAACAAATTGAACAGAAGCTTGAAGACCTAAGTTTGGCTCATCAATCTTCTTTATTACACTCGAACCCAGGCACTGCAGCCCACGAAGCTTCTAGCTCTGCCTCCAATTCAGATTCTCCTTCAGTTTCTGGGAATCCCAATCACATCAACAATGGGATAAGCCCCATAAATCAAAGCTTTTACAATGGTGATGACCATGATGTTAGCCATGTTGATAATGTCAATGGTGTTGTTGATATTGGTGTTAGGAGTAGTGATGGTGTTGATGGTGCTGATGGTTTTGATGTTCATGCTAGTGTTGGTTCCAGTGATGGTAATGGTACTTGTAAGGAATTGGTACAACAAGATGCTGTTGATGTGTCTGATGAAATTGTATTGAAACCCCGTTTCTCTATTGATGATGCATTGGTTTCTGCTTTGACTGCATTTTCTGCATCAGCTTGTGCCTCTACTGAGATTTGCAGTGAAGAACTCGATAAGCCTACATTGAACTGCTGTGATGATAGGGTAGAAAATGAAAATCCTGGCACAACCGATTCCTGCGATAGCATTCAACATCAAGAGCAAGAGGATCATTGTGTGGGTTGCTATGAATACAATGGATTGGGTTCTGATTCAACTTCAGTCCAGTATGTTAGTCAGGGGAGTATGGTTTCTTCTCCCTGCAATTCACCTTCCCATAATGGTCAAGACCGAAACCTGAGTCAAGAACAGTGGCCTGATGAAGTTGATATAGATATGGCTTGTACTGTAGATGTCCCGGGTTGCAACAGCAGTGAAATAAATGATCTGAATTACCCACATGGTCTGATTATTAATGAACCTGCCCCTAGTTTCTCTCTCTTGGATGTGGAATTCACTTCAAGCAAGGATTTCCAAGGAGGGATTTCACTAGAAGCTCTTCTAGGTGATTTTTCTGTGAATGAAGGAGAGCCCAAAAGGGATTTTCAAGGAAGGCTGCCACTTGAAGCTCTTCAAGATGAACGTCCTGCAAGTGAGTTTAACAAAGCAGCTATTATTCAGGAAGTTGACCTGTTCTATTTGGAGGGTGAAGTACAGAATGATGATCGAGTGGACAAGCTGTTCTTTACAGAGGATCAAGAGCTGAAAGATGTCAAAATAAGCAATCTGTTCTTCATAGAGGATGAAGGGCTACAGGATCCTAGCGTATTCAGCGTGATATCCCAGGCCAGTGGATTGAATGTGGATCAAGCCATTGTTGCCGAAACTTTTACGAGCCTTATATAGCAATGTGAAGTGGAGAAAACAATATGGGGTAAACCCTGGCTATTTGTCTTTGCAGTTATTCCTACTTTCTTATATGTAAATATTCTTTATGCACAATCCCATAATGAATGAGCTTTGAGGTGATGGTATGCATATAAAGGCATATGATCTTTCTGGAACTCTACCACTCCACATTTCAGGATTCAATTTCTTAGTCACTGTAGATTAGAACAGACAAAAAATTTCCATTCCACCTAAACTGTCATATCGCCATTTACAGTTTTACATTACAGAATACACAGCAACAGTTGTACAAGGACTTTCATCTATATATGAATGAGGATTTCTCCTTTATCTTCTTTGGAGTAGATTGTCAAACTCACCAGTGCACATGCCATTTCTGTGAAATTAATATAATTATGATGCAGATTAATTTCTTGTAAAAACTACATAAAAGAGGTTAAGTATCATTTAAAGGGTTAAGACCTCTAACAAAATCATTAAAGGGGTCAAAAGATTCCAATTAACATTAGACGGTTTACTTGTTAAATTTTCATTTTACTCAGGTATCTCTTTAAATAAAATTTTCAAAAATACCCTAATCAACTTTGTTCAAGGTTGGGAAGATTAAACAACCAAGAACATTTTAGTAATTTGACCTACCTAGAACAAGCATGGTACCCTTGTCCTTTGATTGGTGCCTCTTGGGTGGATCAAATTACCAAAATGTCCTTGTTGGTTTAGGATCTTACCTTGGAAAGGGGTAATTTGGGTATTTTAAAAATATTTTTTGGGACGTACATGAGTGAAATGAAAATTAAAAAAAACCAATCCTCTAGTATTAATTGGGATGTTTTGACTCCCTTAGTGACTTTGTATGTGGTTTTGACCCCCTAAATGATTTTGTGTGAGAGAGAGAGAGAGTTACTCAAGTTTACCCTCATTGACGTTCTAATCTTGGGGAGATGGCCAAAATTCTTGGCTAGCATATGGCAGCATGGGATTTCCACGATGGTCGGTTCCCCAAGAAAAAGAGGGTTACTAATTTTATTAACCAGCTTGCGACTGTGGCTTGTACAGTACATTGACTATTCCTGTGACTTGCGTAATTGTTATTAAGTGATCATCATTATCCAAGCTTTATCCCTATTATTTGGGGTTAACTATATGATTTATGTTCCTCTATTCTTTTGTATTATGGATCATACCTTCAATAAGATCAAGAGTTACCATATATTTTCTCACTACTTTTATCTATGACTTTTGAAAAAGGCTTTCCCCTTGCCCTTTTAGAGCCTTCCATTTGAATTAAACTTGCTAATTGGTGTTGTATTAGGTCTACATTGCACACAGTCCACTTAAGTCTACTTTTCCTCATCTTATTGCCTATTGAAGCTACATCTAAGTTTGCTCATATGTATTTATTTCGAATTCTATTTTTTCTTGTCTTACCACTCTTCCATCTCAATATCATCATCTCAGCTACGTTCATCCTATGGTTATGTTGTTTCTCGACAGCTCAACATTCTGTCTTGTAAAATATGGTCGGTCTTACAGTCGTCTTATAGAAATGACCTCTGCCCTCATTTATATCAAAGGTTCCTCCAAACATTGTGTTTTCATAGTGTTCGTTATTTAACAATTTTTTAAAATAAATTGTCAACCTTTCATTGACTTCGTCATCTTTCACTTGATCCCTACACTTCCTCTTTCTCATTTTTGTTAGTTTGAAGATATCTTTTTCACATTCTCTTGTCCCTAGTTTATTGTATAGATTATCATATGCTTTAAGTTTTAGCCTTGCTATTTTCTTATTGTGTTTTATAGCATTTTTATATTCTTCTGAGTTTTCATCATTTTTCTTATATTGTGAACCTTTACAACATGACCTCCTCACACTACCATCAGGTTTTTTTGGCGAATTTTGTTTTCCTCTAGTTTTTTCTAGAATTTCGTTTGTCACTTTTTTAATGCAATTGACTATCTCATTTCACAACATTGACTTCGTGCTCATAATTCTGTTTTCCTTCTTTTTACCAATTTATCCTTAAATACGTCTATGTTATATTTTTTTAAATTCCACTACCTAGTTTTTGGACACCTATTAGTTTTATTCTTACTCTTCATCTCTTTAAGTATATGTCCATAACCATGAGATTATGTTGCATGGTCAAACTTTCTCCTGGGATAACCTCGTAGTCTTTACATGATGGTCTATTTATCTTATTGACTAGAAAGAAGTCTATCGAGCTTTTTTATGATTAAGGCTTAATGAAGTGTGTGATGGGCAAGAGGCTAAGTTGTATGCATCTTATTTGAACTATCACTCCTGAAATGTCTGGTTTAACTTGATTCTATTTCTTTAAAGACTTTTTTTAAGGGAAACCAATGCTCTACTTCATAATTGACACATGATAGAGCCCAATCATTCGGCATAATGATTGTCTTGTAAAATGTAAAGCTCAATTATAAACACCATATGTAGCTGTGGAGAATAACACTTTTCCTGTCTCAAGAATAACACTTTTCCTGTCTCGATACTTCAATACAAATGGGTCGAAAGCCAAGATGTGAGCTGTACAAATCTACTTATCATGTTGCCTATAAAAGCACCATGGATGATGTGCCAGACTTAACACTAATTATTTGTATGGTACAAGCATAAGGGGAAATAATCATCTTTAATCATCTCTCTTTTTTGTTTTGTCATAATGTCTTGCTGGATCTCAAATGCGTGATGGGCCTCCTGTAACAATTTACCATTTCCGTGATCCATCCAAAATTTTCCGTGATCTATCCAAGATTGGAAAGCGCCAGTCCTAATAGACACAAGTTCAATTAGAATCAGGGTTTGAAAACTCGTCGAGTCGAGTCGAGCCGGACTCGTTCGGTTCGATTTGGGAATTGTCTGCAACCGAGCAGGTTTCACAAAAAATCCGGGAATCGCCCGTGTCCAGAGAGAACCGGGCTATTCCCAATAGTGAATCGCGAGTCTCATCGAAAAAACCTGGGCATTCTAGTAATTTTTGGGTTTACACGTGGCCGCCTCACAGGAGCAATACGCGGCACTTATAAATCCTCCACACATGGTAACTCACCTCACATGTATGCCCCCTCGCTTTTCTACCCGCACAATGCAACATCTATTACACAGGAATTTATAGAGAACAAAACACGCTCATCCATCGACGTGGGATAATACCCACAAAAAATCATTAAAGCAAGAAGATTGAATATAAATTATTATAGAAGCTAATAAAATCACATTAGGCGACGTGGCGGTGTTGGTTGACATCTTCGATTTTTCGGTGGATGTCTAGAGTTTGAACCCTTTAGCGCGCGTTCTCGTTTATATTTTTGTTATAAACAAAAGCAGAAAATACTGTTGTAAAAAAATAAAAAAAATAAAAAATAAAAGGCTATTCAAGATCAAGATAAAAAAGATAATACAACATTTTTTTATTTTTCTTGTAAAAAAAATACAAAGTAATATAACAAGTATTTATTACAAAAAAATAAAACAAAAAGCATAAAAACAAAAAGTGTACTTTAGCAGCATCATTCTTTTATTTTTCTTGTAAAAAAAAAAAAAAGTAATACAACAAGCAAAAAAAAATGTAGTACAACATCTTCTTCTTTTGTAAAAAAAAAAAAAAAAAAAGAATAATCAGCAAGTATCATATTTTTCTTGTAAAAAAAAAAAAAAGAATAACACAATAAGTATTTCTTGTCAAAAAAATAAAAAGTATTTCTTAATACAACCTAAGAATAAATGGTCTAATTATATTTTTTATTTTTATAACATGATGGTCTCTAACATAAATTTAGCAATATTAATTTAAAGATAGGATTCATACAATGAGGCCATTTGAAATCTCTCTCTTTCTATTAACAATCTCTTCCACTAATTTATTCTAGAAACCTAAAAAATTAAAGAAAATTGGTACTCATTCTAATAATTTCTACATTGATAACCAAATCTTTTATTTTATTTTTTAATTTTTGTATTATAAATCATGTAGTGTACTATTTTTCTTACAGTTGTCAATAATACAA